CGAGAGCGGTTGCATAAGCCCGCTTTAATGCTTTTTTAAAAGCAGAAGGGCGGGCTAAAAACGGTGGTGAGCAGCAGCAGGGACGGAGGCAGGGCGACGCGGCGAATTAGCCCATCATGGCGCTAGGCCGGGTACGAGAGGCCCTGTGTACAAACATGTACAGGTTAGAAATGCTGTTGGTTTGGAAAACAATACCTTGGTCCCTTGCTGCTGACACACACCTTGCGGGCGTCGAAGATATTGATGGCATCATGGTGAAAGGTAAGCAACTTAAACGGCACAACTCGCGAAAAGCCTACATAGGCAAACAGCCGACAACCATGGCAAGGCACGGCAGGAGCACGGAACGGCGCGTACTTGGCTGGGGCGACCGGCCGGCTCAGAGACCAACAGAAGACTGGCGAGCGGAGGTGAGTGGGGGCGTGGCGGAGCGTGGCGGCCCATCAGGCGGAGATGAGGCGCAGCGCGTCGTCTGCTGCGGAGTGGGAGTGGTGACTCGGAGCTGGCGCGCGAGAAAGAGGAGTGGTGGGAGTTTGGCTGCCTACCCTCCCGGCGGCAGACAAACGAAATATTTTTGGCGCATCGCGACACCAAGCAGGCCGCGAGCACAACTGGGGGACACAACGACCGCACACGACCCCCGAACAGGGCCGTGTGGGCCACGGTGCGCATCAACGGGAAGCCCGTGGCGATGGGGGTAACAATTATTATCGACCAGGCCGCGTGCCAAGAGTTGTGGCCAGGGGCACAGATCCAGCCCAGCCCACTGCGCTTGCGGGCGTGGAACGGCACAAGCGTGCCGGTGCTAGGCCAGATGATGGTGACAGCGTCGTTTGGGGGTATCACCGCGAACCTGGCTATCCATGTGGGAGGCGGACCGGGCCCAGTACTGCTTGGACGGGGCTGGTTCTACATGCTGGGGTTTAAAATTGTGCACGGGGCAGTACCGGACTGGGTGCAGGAGCTGAACTGGGCGCAATTAGAGAACAACCCGCAGAAAAAAAGAACCGCCCCAGCAAAACTAACCCACCCCCGCCTCCGACCCACGCTCTGCCACGGCAACCACGGGAAAAGGACTACTAGCAGCGGGGCAATACGCAAAGCGCTTCAGCTGCTTCGCGGAGGGACTAGGGCGGTACAGATACGCCCTGTAATTCTCAAGATGTCTTCAAAAGGTACTGGGCAAGACATGGAATCCTTAAATAGAGATAATACCGACCGCTTGGTGAGTGATGAAGATGCCCAGTCGAGGTAAATATTTATATAAGGACACGCAATACTGTGCTAGCATTCTGTTGGAGTGCTTATCTTCATAATTTTTGTTTCAGTACCCTCCAGAGCTGCTTCTTCCTGCTTAAGTTGCTACCAATGAAGAAAAAGAAAATGACAAGGTACGGAAAAGTGTGAAATCGACGTAAGTAAGTTGTTTTAGAAAGTTGCACTGAAAAGTATTTTTATAATTTTCAGAAAACGGAGGACCGGAAAAAATCCACAAATCAAGTAAAAGCAAGAAGAACAAAAAAACGGAAGAGTACTGACAGAGAACATGCTGAGAAGTCGTCCAAAAAACTCAAGAAGAACGAGGTTTCGACTCCCAGTTTTCCCAAGTCGTCGAGGATGCGTCGCAAGAGAGTAAAATTATAGATCTTACGCTCGACAAAGACAGCGATGCCGACTATACGACTGCAGTTGGTGAAAGTTCTGAGAGCAAGGTTAATCCCATTAAAACTGAGTCAAGTTTTTCACTGTTCGAGGATGATGATGATGATGTCGAACAGTTGTTGAGCCAATCTTTAGCCGCTTATACTGGCGTCACTGCGAATCTTTTAAAAGGAGGGCTGACAAGCCATAGGGCGTTTGGTCTTCCTTTTGAAGACGAAGGTCTAGGCCTTACCAGAAGTCAACAGGCTCAAAATCTTGAAGAGGCCGATGTAATAATATGGGATGAAATTTCAATGGTGCAAGCCTGGCACCTTCACGTCTTGGACAGATTTTTACGCGATGTAATGCGCAAAGAAGAGCCTTTCGGTTCAAAAATAATTATTTTAGGTGGTGATTTCCATCAAATTTTGCCTGTCGTGCCGGGGGGCAGTAGGGCAGACATAGTGGACGCTGCAGTAACGTCATCGAACCTTTGGCCGCTCTTTGAGAAATATACCCTTACCAAAAACCAAAGAGCACTTGAGGACCAGGAATATGCTGATTGGCTTCTCAAGGTACGTACCGCTTCTTATTGACTTCATGCACTTACAGAGTTTTAGTTGTGTGGAAAATAATTAATGATTCTGTTTGTATTGGAAGGTGGGTGATGGAACTGCAAATGAAGATGACTCAACAAGGATCCATTTAAGGAGTGACATAGTCGTGGATGGAATTCACAAACTCATAAATCACTGCTTTGGCAAAGATAAGAGGATGCACATGATGCAGCAATTTTGTGCCCAACAAATGAGTCCGCCAATTTCGTCAATGAATTAGTTCTGGAAAGGCTGATGCGAGGCAAAGAAGGGGATCGCGTGTACTACAGCACTACAACGCTTGATAAGTCTCGAGAATTGCAAGACGCACGCGATCAGCATCGTCTGCATTACCCAGCTGACTATCTGGACAAACTGGAGTCAGCGTCATTACCACCGCACAAGTTGCATTTGATACCAGAAGCGAATGTCATGCTCATAAGAAATTTGCGTGTCGGAGGAGGACTTTGCAACGGCACCCGATTGAAGGTGTTGAAATTGCATCCCAATCTGATAGTGTGCAGAATAATGACGGGGTCAAGAAAAGGTGAAACAGTTGGCATCTTTAGAATTACCATCACAACTAATGAATTGAGCCTGCCTGGAAAGCTGCGAAGACGTCAATTTCCCTTAAAACCATGCTACGCTATGACAGTCAACAAATCGCAGGGCCAAACACTAATAAGAGAAGGTCTCTACTTAAGGACTCCGTTGTGGTCTCACGGCCAACTCTGCGTCGCCCTCAGCAGAGTACGGTGTAGACAAGCAGTCAAGATAATGGGTAAAGAGGGGCAGGAGCAGGGTAGAATTAATGCAAACCGAGGAGCTGCTATGGCGGGCAACAACATTTACACCCTGAATCACATTTATGCTGAAGTTTTGCAAGCAGTCAACCAAAACACCTACTTACCAGCTGAACAGCAGGGCAACAATATGGCCGCAGACGTCCAGCCAATGTACATCGATCAAGAAGATGAATAAAAGGACAGGACAACTGACAATCCAGCCAGCTGTGATAAACTAAGATGATGTTATACTCAAAAATTAAAAAGTGTAGGGGCAATCCGAGTGGTGTGTTATTTCTTTGAATCAAATGTACGTATAAGACAAAGTCATGAAAAACCTTACATAGAAAGTTTTAAAATGCTCAAATTAAAGTTTTGCTTTTTGTCATTTCAGGTTTAACAGTCATCCTGTGACCTTGGAGAGGGGTGTTTGTTTATGTAGCCAGCTGCTTGCTACAAGTTTTGACCATATTACACCAAGCAGTTCGTGTGCATTTGGGTAGTTTCAAGTGTTTTGTAGTCCTAAATTACTAGGCTCTGCACAGGGGTAGAAAAGGAGATCGACCGCTTTCAGGCTGAGGGAATTTTCACCCCTGTCGCGTGGGCCAGATGGGCGACGCCGCTCGTCATCGTCACCAAGCCGGACGGGTCACCGCGACTGTGCGGGGACTATCGCCTGACAGTAAACAAGGCGCTAGCACATGACCCGCACCCAGTGACGACGTTGGATGAGGCGGGGTCAAAGTTTTATACAAAACTGGACCTTGCCGCCGCCTACTCTCAGCTGCCTATCACGGAGGAAACGGCGGAAATACTTACCGTCGCAACTCACAAGGGTTTATTCCGGATAAACCGCTTGGCTTTCGGAGTAACAACGGCTCCAGCGATCTTTCAACGTCTGATCGATGGCCTGCTCAAGGGCGTGCCAAAGACAGTCGTCCTACTTGACGACATATTGATCGCAGGCGCCACAGCGGCAGAGTTGGAATCCTCCGTGGAACTAGGTCCTCAAGAGGCTGAGCAACGCGGGGCTGCGGCTGAAATTCAGCAAATGCGAGTTCGGCCTGGAAGCAGTGCGGTACTTGGGACACGAAGTCTCGGCAGCGGAACTTAGGCCCTTGGCGGAGCGGGTGCAGGACCTACTCGACACACCGGCTCCTACAAGCGTGCCTCAGCTGCAAAGCTTTCTGGGCAAAATGGCGTTTTATGACAGATTTTTGCCCAATAGAGAAGCTCTTGCTGATAACCGTCGAATAAATCACCTGTGACCAAATGAAATTCTATTGGACACAACGCGTTCACCTATCATCACAACATTTCCTCCTCTCAAACATGGAACTGTAAAATATTCATGTTTCATTATCATTTATAGATGGACTATCATTATTATCACTGTTATTATCACAATTTTAATTCGTATCGTTCAGAATTTTTTTCGCTCGCTTCGCTCGCTGGCTTTTACAATTTCCCTTTTCACTTAGCTTTGGTCCCAATTTTAAAACATAGTTTCGAAATTTTTTCTCTCGCTACGCTCGCGACTGCTTCTTTTAACGTGACTTTGGGGCATCAGAAGCATCTTACAAGTCTCCATCATTTTGGAAAACGGGTGTTTGTTCTTTCAAAGTCGGTTAATTTTTTAATAACTACCCCCTGTGAGTTAGGCAACCAGCACGACACATTCAGAAAAATGCCCCCCCTCCCCCAAAAACCTTTCGCTGGATCCGTGCCTGGGGTACTGACCTCCTCTTTTTCCGGTTTTAGAACAACTGCCCGTTCAGAAGTTGATAAAGCGTCGCGTCATGAGCGAGCCGGACCGATATGTTTGAATATTGGATTGTGAAACGGTGCAGCAGGCTAGAAGATGGGCGAGGTGGAGGAGGAAGAGAGCTAGGGGGGGGGGGAGACAAATCATAGGCAACCATACTATTCAGTTTTGAGTACGGTTAGTAAAAATAAATGGTATAGGCAGGCTAGCGTTGTTGTCATGCAAACATGTCGACCAGAAATTACTCAACTTCTAGCAAGATGTAAAATCAGTAGTAAAAGTTCCAGTGTTTCTTAGTTCTTGGCCCCTGAAGGCAGTATAGGGGATGGGGTCACTGCTCCTATACTGCCTTCAGGGGCCAAGAACTAAGAAACACTGGAACTTTTACTACTCTGGGTTGAATCAAAGTACCCAACCCTCCCCAAAGTGTTGTTGGGCCAAACATTGATGAATTTGCAGTGTGTTTCTACGGTCAGGCCCCGTATTATTTTAGTTCATGGTCTCTACTGTAGAATTCAAAAAATATTTCACAAAACTAGGGACCACAAATATTTTATTATTAAAATATTCCAACTAAATAACAGAGAATTTGTCGGGTTTTCAAGTTTAATTCTAGTAGGCGGCGAGGTTTCAGTCTTAATGCTTAAACTAAGCGAGGTTTTAGATTTCATATTCAAATTGAGCGATGTTAAATTATTAGCTAGGATAGAAATGACTTTCTATAATCAAGACAGTGTACTAAATTATGGTGCTGTATAGAAAAAAAGAATTCTCATAAAATTGCAATACCTACTTGTGATAAAATTACGAAATAAGTCAGAAAGTTACGACTAATTTCATATTGTTACGATATTGAGTTGTAATATCTATCTATAACATTACCCGTAAACTTACAATTTAGAAACCGTAACTTTACGAATAGATGTTGTAATTTATTATCATGAAATATGTCGTAAGTTGACGAATATTTTTTTCGCAGTGCTCAGCAAATTTCTTGTCTATCCAAAAATGACCCACTTTATTTGTTGTGACGACTAATTCTTCTTGTATTCCTTCTTGTTTTCAACGTATAACACCACGTCGACTCCACGTCTTTTCCACAAATATTTCTCTATGGGTACGTTCGCTGTAAGACTAGTGCGCTGCGAGGTCCGTTGACCTGTGGGACTAGTGCGCTTGGCGGTCTCCCAGACGAGACCACTGCACGTTATTGTACGCTTAATCAGCGCCCTAGGACTCACGCGGCACCCTTCCCGAGAGCACTCGTCCCCAAAGAGTGACCGTCCAACGCGCACTAGGGCGCGTTTAGTACTCATCGCAGGGGACTAGGGCGCAAAGAGAACGCGTCCAACGGGACTAGGGCGCTTTTGATACTCACCGGAGGGGCCTAGGGATCCAAAGAGTACGCTTGCCGCAGGACTAGGGCTCAGACAGTCACTATGCAAGACTAATAGTATAGGTGTCGTAGGGACTCGAAAGAGCCTTCGAACACATTCGGCAAAGACCCAATAATATCGCAACTCGCTTTGCAACTGAGGATTAATTTACGCAAGGTCCATGAGATAGGGTATTCCGCTACAACACAATCGGAACCAAAGGAGAAAATCATGACTACCCGATCTGTTTCGTCCTGAACGCTGATTGGCCAAAGATGGCGTGGCTGTGGCGGTCAGCCAATGAGCGCGCAGAGGGAAACAGATGGAGCAGTCATGCTTTTCTTCTTTAGGTTCCGGTTGGCTTGCAGCGGAACACCCTATTATAGTAGGGCAATTTCAGAAAAAAATGTAAAAAAACGTCTGTCAGACGAGATTTGTGAGCGACTGAGAGGTGCTACGGGTAGTTGAAGTACACGACCAGACGACTAGAAGTGTCTTTGCAAGACGCTGCAGGGACGTATTGCAACATTTAGTAGCGTGGCACCTCTCAGTCCCCCACAAAGGCCGTCACTGACGGACACCCCTATCTGGAATTGCCCAGTGGTCATATCCCAAAGGTTTCGGAATTTCCTGTCTATAAGGGGGTCGTTTGCCTTGTTCCATTTGATACAATTAGTGAAGCAAAGATAAAACTTTTGATCGTTTTAAAATAATTAAATAGAAATAACGACAAAAAATTACAGATAAGATGCACTTTTTAAGCCCAGGGGCCTGTGCTTCCTGCCCACGGGGAGAGTGCAAAAAGTGTCGCTAGTCTTTGAAGACTGCTGACAAACATTTATTTAAACGCATGTACATGGACCCGCCATAGGAATTGTTACCTATTTGACGAGATAGTAGTGAGGTGAGCTTCTAGACAAAGACATATTTCAGCGCATGAGGGGCAAAAGCGATGCAGCGCTTGAGTCGAAAACTGCGTTCTTCTGCGCGCAGCCGTTCGCCCTCACGAGCAGGAGCAAGGGGGAACCAGAGGACAAGGGAACGAATACGACCGAGCGCGCAGACGGAAATCGGACTAGTACGCAAAGGGTCCTCGCGCCGATTTAATTTTTGTTTCAGGCAAAAGGGGTAGTACGCTTTTAGTCCGCTCGACTCGGCGCACGGTCAATATTTCTTTGAGCACTAGTCCCCTTACACTAGGGGACGGGACCAGGGCACACGGAGCGCGTTTTTTCATCACTTTTGGGCGTGTTTGAGACCAGTCCCCATGCGCCCGGACTGGTACCCAAACAGTACGCTCGTGGGGATTGAATGGTCCCTGTTTGGGGACTGTTTGGGTACTGATTAATTTTGTAAGGGACTTCATACCCTCTCTGCGTCGGCACGTTCTGTTCTGATTAAGCTCCAATTTTTACAGTATAATGACTACGAAGTCAGATAGGAAGTCTTCTGACAATTTGGCCCTAGTCCAGGACCTAAGAGTAAAAGAGAAGAAACCCTACCTACTGAAGGCCTCGGACCTGTTTAGCGTCGATTGGGCAAATGAGGCTAAAAGTTGAAGCCAAAGAACGACAAGGACTTTACAATTGCGTATGGTAGGCTAATGACAATGGAGGCCAAGGACTGCCTGGTGCGCCACACAATCTTTGCTCTGAGCTGTGAGTGTAGGTTCTCATATGTACTCAACTAATACTCTTAGAGACTTTTGTTGACTGACTTCTCTTTAATTTGACATCAAGGGCAACTGATCTGAAGGAAAGATTCAAGGAGGAGAAAAGAATCAAGAAGGTTGGAGCAAGACGCTCCATCGGCCCGGTCTTTGAGCCCACAACCAACTATTTTTTCCCCGACTTAACTCAGGAGGCCAGACAGGACAAAGTAGGCCTTTAATTCAGTGTCGTGATGCAAGTGTGTGCTTGTGTTTTTCTTATCAGGTTCTAGTTTGATAAGATATTCTCTAGGAAACCATTAAAAAATATTTTCAAAAAACGTCATTTTTGAGACCAGTTTTTTATTTCTGTATTTTTAGAAACCAAACTTTTGAGGAAATATGCT